AAATGGACTAAATAAGGAGCAAAACTGAGTTTTAGCTTACCCAAACGCGCTCGGTGACTTCGGTCTTTTTATCAAATCAACTCCTCGTTGCGGGGTTAGTGTCTCCGCTGCTTGGAAAAAATCCGCCGTGGTCCTTTTGAAATATAAATAAACAGAGAAAAAGTTCAGGTTTGATATTTTACATGCGATTTTAGTCCGGCGTGCCTCTCGAGCGCGACCTCGCCGACTAGTGTGCGTTGCTCTTGTCTCCTTTGTGTTAATTTCACTCAAATCGAGTTTAATCCGATCGATCCCCGGCTGGTCGCGCTCCCGAGTCCTCCCCTCCAGACACTCGCTCACCTTCCGCGGCCAAGGGGGGCGCGCTCCCGAGCACCTCTCATACGGATAAACAGGCGGCGTGCGCGGTCACTGACCCCGCCGTGCTCGTGTGACGCTCTCTGGGTTCTCATTTAGGGATGGGGGAAAAAACATAGGCGTCACCAAGCACAAAAAGTGGCCACATGTGCGAAATATTCAGGCTGGGTTTGGTTTTACGCATACGCATGGTTCCATAGGCACGCGTTAACAGGGCTATGTAGCCCATTTTAGACTAATTAAAGCGAATTAATAATGAAACAATAGTGGAGTAATACTTTTAATTCAAGTTTCTGTGAAGTAATAAAAGCAGTCTTCCAGGGGCAAAACATTGAAGTTTGGCGAAAAGGATCGATTTATTTTATTCACAAGCAAACAAAATTCCATTAGAATGGTTTATCACATCTCTAAATCACTTAGTTCTGACAAACGGGTCAGCACTGGGTCAGCTACACCTTTCATAACAATTTTGAGGGTTTGTACAACAATTCATACTGCCAGGAGCATCCTGCATCAGTCAGGATATCCAGACCATGTGACCAGTGAACGATAGTTTGAAATGAGAAACCTCATATTAAAGCCCCCTATCTTAAATGAGATTTTACATTTAAAAACATGTTCTTGGATAGAGCTGAACCTAAGATGTAATTTGTTCATGACTGTTGTCATCATTGCTGTGGCAATTACTCACATGTATGTTGGAATTTATTTTCAAAACTCACAAAACCATCTTTCACTGCTATTTTTTCTTGTAAACTAACAAAGTCATAATTTTTTTTAATGATTGAGGTCTTTGTTACTTTTCCACAGCAAATGATTCATTTCTGATTATTGTAATTTACTGATCTGGCCTTTTGAACTGTACTCTCATCCAGACTGTGTGACAGAATTCTATGAACCATTTTCTTAAGAGGAAATTATGTTAATAGACTATTAAACAATTTAATAATGGATTTGTCATCAAATATGGTATCATATGCAATGAGGATTAAGAAATCATATCTTAAAGAAAAATTGGGATGCATACCTCAATGTAAGCCATCCTTAACATAGTCTGCTGCATGTGTTTTACACATATTTCCAAGCTACATCTGGTTTGATCTTATTTTAGTTTGCTTTGAAAACGAACATGCAGAGACATGAACGTTGCTGAGCCATAGAACATACCTTTTATACTTGTAACATTTGTGCTGTGTGGCTCATAATACACAATTTAAAACTTTAGGCTGTATGGTGGCTGTGAAGGTCCAATTCGGCTTCGTGCAGAGATAAAAAGGGACTAAACCACATCAGAAATGAACAGTTGCATACAAACGTCACTTTTTGAATCACATGCCATACAGTCTATTTAGAGTCTATTTGATGTAAATTGTTTTTGATCTCGACAGTAAACAGAATTAACCATTTTTCATTTCTGTCTTTTCAGTTGGATGTAGGACATGGGAAGGCAGCCAGGGAAGACATCAAAAGTGAATTGCATGAACAGGCCTTAACTGATCTTAACTGGTTGGTAAAATGTGCAGCTTTGAAATCTTCAGAACAAACGCATAAACATAACCTTTAAGACTAACAAATTAAGGTAGGCTATAGGCCATGTTCTTTCCTTTTGCAGTTCCTGGGACCCTATCAAACGGAAATACATTTTTGAAATTTAAAACCCAATAGTCCTGACTAAACCTCAAAATGAAACTGACTAAACTGACTCAAAATTTGGAGATGGGTCCCTTTGTCAAATGCAGAGTAGTAGTACGCTGATTGTCACATTGTGTAAAAAAAATATTCTCAAAAGTGTAATTTGTATATCATCTATTTTAATAAAAACCTGATTATCTTTATATTTTTCTTATATATTCTTAATAAATGATAAATCCTCAACTTCCTAGGAACTTTTTCAGTAGTAGGTCTACATCATGTAACTTTCACATTAGCAAAATGTTTGTTTAAATATGCCACTGTTTATGAAATATGAACTATTCACATGCATTTTGGTTTAAGAAATGATGTTGTATTTGACTTTTATGCTGATAAATTGATGGTCATAAAACAGTCTAGTTGAAAAGCAGAATATCAGTAAAAGCCACCAGTGAAGGCAGTGCACTACACAAATGCAAACCCCTTGTCCACACAAGTTTGATTCATTGAGCAGAGTCTGGCGACCTCCATCAGGAAATACAATCTGACGACGGCTGAAGGTCAGGAGGAGCTATTCCCTCAGCTCCGGTCCAAACGTATTAATGACTTACACAGATAAACTGTACAGGACCTAGTGATGGATTGTGTCATTAAAGACTTGATACCTGGTGAGAATGAAAGAATAAAGTTAGATCTTTCATTTTCCCTCATGATTTATTTTAATTCACATTTTTATTAACTTTTTGTTTTGTAGTCCATGTGCCAGATCAGAGTGACTGATTTGAAAGTGGGTTAAAGGGTTGAAAACTGCCCCTATAGGTTTTGAAAAGATTGAACAAATGAGCAGTGTGTTTGGATGAATTGTTTTTCAAGTTAGACTATAACTTTGCAGTGTACCAGTCCAAACATAAGCATGATTACGTAAATTTTGGTTATAAACAAAAGTACATTTCAGACCCTGCTCTCGTTCCCAAAATGCTTGACTAAACCCCAGATAAAGTTTAAAATTCCACCTATTTTATTGTAAAACATTGTGATACTTTTCCATTGGCTGAATTGTTAGTTTGAGTACAAGGGAAACATTGGGTCATACATCTTGTATAGTAAAGTAAAAAGCAAAAAGTGAAAACACACATTTTTACCAGAATAATAACACACCACAATCTTTTTTTTTTCAAACACTGTATTTTCCATCTCCACATAACCAACAAAATGACATTTTTGTTTAGAATGTTTTATTATAGTTTACCGTGATAGCATTTTTAGCATATTTTTTCTTTTTTTTTTTAAGTTTTATTTTTTCCCAAAGAACAAACACAGCAAATAACTTTTTTGAAAGGGGAGGTAGGGGCAGGAAGTAGAGGAGGAGAGAGGAGGGCCACAAAGATTAGATAGATCGATCCATAGATGGTTAAATATAAATGCGTTGCGTTTGGCTAGTTCCTCCCCTGTTCACCCCTCAAAATCCACGCATACGCACACACACTCACACTACATGTCGCTTTACAAAGAATAACCGTTAGTCAATAACTGTCTGAATATATAGTAATTAAAAAATAAAAGTAATAGAAACATATAGCCGACAAAACATGACAAGTTTTCACACAGTTTTGTATCGCCCTGCAGTGAAACTCTCAACTGTTAAGCGTAAAGAGGACGCGTCTTAGTATAACACCAAAAATGCTTTAATATATACTTCTTTATGTTGCATGTATGCGGGCTACATGTGTGTGCGAGCATGGAGAGGACACGGTTAATGCATGTGGATTTTTTAAAATGCCCCAAATCATAAAGTCTATCATAAGGAATTTTTGTATGGCTAAATATTACGCTATGCTCAGACTATACTCCAAATTATTTATCAGATTTTGTTACTCATTCCAACGCGCCTTTGTTATCTAGCAAAACCTATGTGGTCTGAACCTAGCCAAAGCTGTGTCTATATGAAATGCAATGCCAACTAGCTAGTTAGTGGTAAAATGCCTATTTGCATAAAGAAGGTACATTTAATACATTTAATTTAGCAGCTGTCCATATCTCTCTCCGTGGGGCAGAGTTAAGGCAGACAGCTGATCCACTTTGAGTCAGATTTTCGTGGGACAAAACAGATAAGAATAATTTTCCTCCAACAAAATACAGGTAAACATGTAATTTGGCATTAAAATTGATATAGAGCTAATGAGAAGAAAAGAGGGGTGAGAGGCGGGTGGAAGGTAAAAGGTGCACTATGTACCGTTCTGGACTCTCTGGAAATGTTATGGCTTTGTCTGGAATATTCCACAATATGACATTAAATGGTATAAGCACATGATTCCACTGTTTCAAGTTATAAATCAGATTTCTGGAGAGGCGATGTCACTCACAGTAAGAATGTATTTCAAGGTATATTTTAAACCATAAACACAATTGTAATCAAATAAAAGCAAAGTAATGCCATACTGTGGAACATTCCGGGCACAGCAATAACATTTACACAAAGACAAGCAGATAGTAGTGCACCGCCACCAGAAAAGTTACATATTGCTCCTTTAAATTTCAGCAATAAACATTAATTAATACGTACATTAGGAGGAAGCAAAAACAATGCAGTTACGAATCAAGCGCTAGACAGTATACATATCATAGCGGTCGGCTAATTTTAAGGTGGAAATTCAGGCTTTTAAAATGGATGAGCCTTGATATTTGCAGTTGAACCTCACCAGGGACTTTCAATGCCTTAATATGGCCAAGTTAACAGCTTCATAACAAAAAAAGACATTTGAGTTTTAAACTGTTAACAAGCTGTTTCAAGGCGTCATTTCCCAGTTCTAGTGAGGATACTCAAATAAGCTCGACTTCATTCAAAAAGCTACATGAAACTCAAGAGCCATATATACACAGAAATGCACCTGATAAATATAGTTATCAAAAAGAAAAAAAATCTCTTAGTTCCAATCTTTTTTCCCTCTTCTTTACTTCATGTTGGCCACCACTGCGCTCAACATCACCCCCTAACCGTTTCCAAAAGACATCCATTTTCAAACAGTTTGGTCATTTATTCTCTTAAAACACTTTTTGTAAGCCACATCCAGTTTATATAGTGTTCTTTAAATACAAAACAAAAACATGACAATAATTATAAAGGGGAAGAGACAAAAAGCATCACATGTTGGTAACTCATTCCAAAGCCTTTAGATAAACTGACTGACATTTCTCAATATACCTACACATGCACACAGGCACAGCATGTAAACTGGACAAGTTGTAGCTCGCCTTGCTATCGACATGGCCGCGTCACTTCTTTTAAAATGAATAGACACAACACAGCGCTGCGGTTTTTAATTCGGTACAGTCAGACTTGTGTCATACACCGGAAAAGCCACTGAAATTTGAAAACTATGGATTAATTATGACAATAATGCCGTAACACCTCCAGCAACAAGCAAAAACTCTGCAGCATTTTAATACAGGTTAAAATCTAAATTCGAATAAAATGGTGGATGAATTTGGGGGCGGGGTCTGAAGTTGGCTTTGTCCTTGTTAAGACTACATATGTTACGCTGACTGGGACGCAAAAACTACAAAAATATACAAGGAAATAGGAACAGAGATGGGTGAGAGAAGTCAATGGACAAACTGTTAGTGAGCCTGGACAGTTCTGTAGAAACGCAAGGGAGGGTTGGGGCAGGACGATGGATGGTTGGGGGGGGGTCGGTGTGGGAGAGGAGTTTCCCGAATACGAGAGGGGCATCCTAGGTCGAGAGGAGGAGGAAGCGGTGGTGGTTGGAGGTGAGTAGGGGGTGTTCAACAGCAGCCGCCTCCAGCATGTTGGCCTCCCTGGCTACCGGACAGTGTGGAGCTGGGGGTAGGGTGCTGGGGTCCAATCTTAATACCGTTAGCCTGGAAGAAAATGGAAAGAAATACAATTATTGGTCATTAACATGACGTGACTTAAAACCCTTTATTTTGTCCAGGGATGGGAATATTTGACATGCAAATTTGTCAACATTTCAAATAGCTCAACTTGAATTCCTTGCTTATTGTCCGCCAATTTACAATTATGGGTCAATGGGCACTTGCAGGCATACAAAATTAATCTCATTAATATGATATGAAAGTTCTAGACAAAATTGGTAAGACCAAGTGTTGGAAAATATTATATCTACACCTGTTTTTTGACAACAAACAACAGTTCAATAACAAACCCCCTGTAACCAAGTCGTTATAGTGGACTTCCTTGTTTTATTTGTTTAATCTGGTGTCATAAATTTGCTAATGAGAAGTCTAGTGTGTAAATGCAAGCTGTTGAGCAGGTTATTCCTGCCACAGATCATAAATATACCGTTTTTAGTGTTGGGAGGCACTGGAGGAAAGGCCAACTTGACCAAAAGACACAACACCATTTACTGGAGCATTGTTACTGAGAATGAAGGAATGAAAAGGCAACATATAATAGATATTGAAAGAATCTTTCCAGGCAAAATAACACATTATTTCAGAAAGGTGGTACATTTTGGTCAGGCAAATGTTTTCTAATGCCTCTAAACTGAAAGCACATGACTCAAGCGTCACTAACTGTGTACAGTAAACACACTTGGCTCATAAACAGACTTTCCTCACCAAAATAAAGGCAGCAGCAACCATCTGTTAAATAGGAATACTTCACTAGAATCTAAAATGTACAATGTGTTTAATGGTATACTGTGCATAAACAATAACAACATTATGGCTTTGAATTGCTAGACAGTATACAATTAATTCCAGGGGACAATTTTATGGTGGATTTTTTTGCAATAACTTAATTACAGAACTACTTTTAAATAATAATTTATTACAACAAACATAAAATAAGGAGATATTTTACACGTTATTGTATTAGAAAAGTGTGTACAGAGTTCTGGAGTTCTTATAGCTCAGAGGTTAATGCTATAACCATGTGCATGTCCTTATTTCACACAATAATAAAGAATCTAACACTATAAGAAAATAATAAAGCTATATTCAAGTTTTCTCATCAACTCCACTGTTGCCATTTGTGCTTTCTCTTCCAAACAACCTCTGAAGAAAGTACAAACTATGACCCTGAGAGAGAGAAAAAAGACATTTCCTACATTTGTGTTACATTATTCCCCATTATACATCACTAATTGTTTCTTTACAGTGGCCTCCCTCCGCTGCTTCCTTGAAAAACACTGTTATGATTACTGCACAGAGGAAAAACAAAGCGCAGAATAAGTGTGTCATTGCTTTCATGGCGGGATTAGCTTTAGCTGTGTGCGCGCTGCCTGCGGGGGCTCCTCCATTAGATCACATCAGAGAGGACGCAACAGGTGCCGGCGCACAAAGGCAGAGGAAACACCGTAGCACTCAAGGACACGAGCAGAGCAATTGAAAAAGAACAGACCAGAATGAAGCGAAGAGAGTGGGGACAGGTGGGCGGTGGGGCAGGCTTAGGCCTTTTAAGCATCTCTGTGGAGTATGCAGTTTTCCTTCTCAGACTCCTTAGAAAAAATACTCAATTGCAATTGTGCTAAGATTTGCAAACTGGGATCAAAATTCGATCTTCAGTACAGGTTTGTAGATGTCGAAACTACAGGGTTGTTTTGTATTTTTGTTGTTTTTTTGTTTTTTTTTACATAAGACAGGAATGTTTTCATAGGATAGTCAAATAAGCTAGGTGTGGGCAGCCAAACAAAATATTGATATTATCGTTAATGTTTGCTTTGGATATAAGAAATGAATATCGAGTACAATTGCAGCCATACTGGCTTGTCAAAGCTAAGCAGGGCTGGGCCTGGTTAGTACTTGAATGGTAGAGCACTGGGAGTTTCAGGTACTACAGGGGCACCAGTGGCAAAAACTGTTATTGTGTTCTTAGACAAGAAACTTCCATCTACATTGCCTGGTGTGGTGTGCACCTGAATGTGGTGATCTAAGGGGCCGATGGTGCAGATAGGTAGCGTGTGGAGTGAATGAATAATGCACTGTAAAGCTCTTTGGGTGTGTTGAAAGGCGCTATATAAATCCAATGTTATGTAATGTTATTAAAAAAAAAAAGTTTTATTTTGTCAGTAATTTTAAAGTAATTACACATTTGTCTGATACTCAAACCTCAAACAAAAAAAAGATTTACATTTCTGATAAGATCTGTATACAACTGAAATGATTCTTGCAGCTCTACTTACTACTCACAGTAGCAGTAGCACCACTGGGAAACTCTGAATGCTTTAAATCACATTTATTGAGCCCAGGCCCGCGCGTGTGAGAGACTTTTCTCAGACCGACTGCCAACAGTTCTGGAGGGGTTTCCCTTCGCCTCGCAGCCCAGTCAGCTGATGTGGTTTGGCGGGCCGGTCTGTCTGCGCTCTGGCTCACTGTTACTAATAACAAAAACACGCAATGCAGGAACCCAGGCTCTCACTTGTGCTGCTGTGTGGAGAGGGGCCGCAGGCAGGACTAACTCTTCATCACGTCATTGGCCAAAGCAGCGGGGTGACTCCATGAGAAAATCTACCCGTCAGGCCCAGATTTATAGATTGATATCTAGATTTATATCTATGGAAAATCTTTTATGGACTACACCATTATAGGACCACAAGCCAGTGCTGGTTGTGGTGCTAGTTCCATGCCCAGATAACAGAAAAAGGCATCAACAAAGCATAATATTTTGCTGTGGGCAAATTCTCTCTGGAAGAAGTTTAAATAATTTAGTAAATCCGTAATGAGTTTCCTAGAAACTATACCTCCTGGAGGTCATAGTAGTCGCACAGTATTTCTCAAGAATGTTAACTCTGATTATGACCCAGGACTAACACAAGTCTAATCCAGGTGTCAACCAAGTCTAAACCCAGTCTGAACCAGGACTATACCAGGACTAAAAACTAAACAAGAAATCTATGTGGACCTCAGTATTTTTAAAGCTCTGGGTATGACTCTGGGAACTACTGTGTTTTGTCCTAAAATATTGCACTCATTAAACCACTTCCAAAGGAATTATTGAATTGCAGCATTACTGGTTAAATGTCCTCTTTGTATTTGTCCTTTTCAGCACTTTGGAGGTGGCTCTGCTCCAGGTTTACGTCCACAAAGAGAAACCTGATTCCCGACCCCTTGCTCACCTCCACACAGCTGACCAATCTGAGTTTTGTGTCAGTATCAGATTGTCGATTTGGAAATTGGAGGATGAGTCCCCCTCCTCCTTTAATCAAACATCACAAACTGTGGAGGAGGGGTCCATGTTATTTGAGCCTCTTTGTCAGAGCTTCAACAACATTCAACAAAAAGCAGGTTATATCAAGCTGAATATTTTTTGCAAAGATTTCAAGTTGGTGAATTCAATTACTTCCCACTTCCCAAATGGATTAAACATGTTTTAAAGTATGCCTAAAATGGCTGTTTAAGATTCAATGACAACATTAAGACACAGAAACATACATCAGGTATCCAAAAAGCCCATGGTCAAAAATTTGAATGATAAGAAATCAACTAGACGTAAGTAGTAGTATTTGAGTTGAGTAAAAGAGTAACAACTTCATCATGGACCAGTTCTTTACCAATGCTTTAAACATCTTAACTTTTGCTTTTTGTTTGGCATGTTGTGTCCAGGTGTTTTTAAGCTTAAAGTTTTTTCTTTCCTTTCATCCTCTCACTTGAACATTTCCTTCAGGTTTTATGGATGTTGTGCTTTCAGACCCAATTCAAAGGCAGGAAAATGACAAGAGATGGACAGCAATTTTTGTTCTGTATCTACTGAATAGTATGAAAGGTTATCTTACACTTATCACATGCAAAAAGCCACAGTGTACAAAGCAACAGACTACAGGTTACATTATCTCTGTCTTCAGTGTAACTGTAGTGTGTATAGCTAACTGCTCTACATCATATGAAAGGGGCTCGTCAGTTAATATGGCAGGGGGCCACTTCGAGGGGCTGCCGTCGAGGAAAAGGAGCTACAGAGCAGAAATACCTCGGAGCATTTTTCAACGGCCTTAAAGAGTACACAGAGTAACTACACTTGCAATTGGCTGCTCGGTGCTCTGGACATTGGGCATTCCTGGTTGGATGGTTGTTCCAGAGGAGATAGGCATCTGGCTAAAGCTGGAGCAGGGGAGCTTATGGACTGGCTAGCTGTTTGTTTTCTTGCCGAATGACTGAGACCTTGTGGGATGTGAGGAATTTATGAGTTGGCAAAATGCCGAGAGAGAGACAGGCAGCTGAGGCCCGGGGTGGAAAATAGAGCAGGGCGATGGGAGTTTTGCTTGGCTACAGTCGAAGGAAGCAGAGAGCTGACTTTTTTTTTTTTTTCACTCCTTTTGAGGCTAGTGGGAGCGTGGCAAACCACACACAAGGCTGAAAAACCACAGACAGGAACAAAGATGGAACGATTTGGAGGAAAAAAAGAAAAGAGAAAGAGAGAAGTGTGCAGGCCAGAGCAATGTCTCACCTCATTGTTGATATCAAACACTCCCTCCTGGATCTTCTCGTAGATCTCCTTGGCTGTGTTGATGAAGGCCTGGGGGAGGAGGAAATGAGAAGGCTCAAGAACAGAACATTTTTCAACAGCTACAATAATATTTCAGCAAAAAAATCTAAATTGCATTACATGGAGTGTTATATATCCAGCTCCTCATACCTTATTGAAGAGTCATGAACACTACAGAACCAAAGACACCACTTTATCAAACTTTGAGTATAGACTCACATGGGGCATAAATGGAGTTTACAAACAGATTTATATATATTTAAAAAAAGACAAATTTATTCATAAATTTTAAAGTAAAATGTGCACACTAAGTAAAATGAGGTATATGTTTTCCAGTTACAGCTGCAAGTAACACAAAACACATTTAAAAACTAAAGAATGGACATATCTGGTGATGATAAGAAACCATGTTTCGTTTAGTTTATTGAGGTGGTTGACCTCCAAATGGAAAACTACTGTAATGATTTTCCAAGAAGACAATTATAGTTTTAATTATGACCAAAGTAAAAACAAATTAATGATTTAACCAATGTCACAGCTGGAGCAGGCTCTGGGAATTCTGACTCTTATTCCAAATCATTCAAATAATGTCATAAAAACATGTTTTATTTGTTTTTATCATTACACTTGACATGCATCAATATTTACACAGCAGGGTATCACCTGGCTATGAAAATGAATGAATTGTACTTAGTATTGCTTTCAGTATCAGCCCATTTTGTCCAAAATGATAAAGCTTGACATCATACAACATCATACTGATAATTTTTTTATCTTTATGTACCAATGTTCGATTCATCATTTTATATCAAAGTCAGTATTTCTCATATCTTCCATCTCCACTTGCTCCTCTGTTACACATAGAGACGAGGATCAAGCCTGTTAGCATAAAGTGGAATTAAGCTCCCTCTGCAACAGGGCTACACCGCACTACTGAAGCGTTTTACTCATGGGACGAGAGCTCGTGGTGGCAGCGTCTCCAGGGCCTAAACTGACGAACAAATGGGACAAACTGTTCATGTAAACTGCCTCCGCCTCCGCATTCAACCTCCAAGTCTGAAACAGCAGGTATTAGGTATGAGATTAAAAATACGAGCTGAACTTGTACCTGGCACTTGTCAGAAATAGACGAAGGAGCCCAGGGGTTCTGCTCCCGTCCTACGTCCTGTCCTGCTTTCATCCTGGCCCTTTCTATTAATGTAACACTACTGTACAAGCCTAGAGTTTTAATATCTCCCACGCATTACAGTTACACAAAGCAATTTTATCAGATTTACAAAGATCAAGCTCATTCTAGAGTTGTATTATACTGGAGTCTATTTAAAGGTGCGCTATGTAACTTTTCTGAAGGGGGGTCTGGCATCCACTTGCCAACATGGAGGTGTACCTTCAGTGCCATACTGAGGAACATTCCAGACAAAGCAATAACTTCAACTTTCATAAACATGAGCTCTGGCTTTGATTTTAACATAGTGTGTTGCTTTATTGGCCACATGGACATTTCCTTGGACTTGTCCTAGGTATACTTTAAATGCTTGTGTCCCATCTTCAAATATTTAATTCAAATTAAATTTTTGTCTTTGAAATCACTTACTCATACCTGTACCTTAGTGGCTAATCACACATTTATTCATCAGTTAGGGTGTTATAATATAAACAAATAAAATATAAAATACATACACACAAGCTTACATACATAAACAGATATATACACATACATGCACACATCCATGCACACATAGATAAATAAACATACGGATGTATGTATGTAAGTCTATCTATAAATGTACATAGGTACTTATGTATATATGTATGTACCGTACATGTATATAATACATAAAATGTATATTGTAGAGCTTAGAAGCTGGTCTTGTACAATCACGTTGCCATCTGAGATAGGATTGTTTTTCCAGCCCTATAGAGGCCCCACAAATTGCATTGGTGCCTTCCTTAACCTCATATTGATAGATCCACAGAAAACATACAAAATGCCAATTCAATGTCTGAACACTGCAGGAGATCTTACAAGGTAGTGTCCAGTGTTGGTTTAATTTTGGTGTATTCCACCAATAGTAAACTTAAACAAATGTTAAAAGAACAACAGCACCAGGGGTTTAAAATGAAGGTTTTAAATGTGCAGCACCAAGATAATATGAAATATTACTTCTACTGTGATGTATATAAATGCTATGAAATATGTAAATATTTAACCTGGTTTAACTGTTAACAATATAGATTAGATTTTTGGCTATTTGGTCTACACACAGTTTGTCAACACTGTATTAAAATGGAAACTCTGGATGGTAGGTGGCTATTGAGTTCTGACAAGCAGGTTTAATAAAATTACTGCATTTTCCAAAGGCAGAATTGGCCCATTTTCAACTTCAGCCAGAAGAGACATTGTAAAAGCGGGCTAGTCGTTCTTGTGTGGTGGGAGTACCAGTTTTCAATTACTGTAGCTTTAAAACATTAATAGAGAAGTCATAAAACAGCTTTTCAGCCCATTGTTCAACGACATCTGACCCTTAAAAATAGAGTTCTGTACAAAATGGCTGAGGTGGTAAAGGTTGTATTTTTGTGGTTAATGACTACACTTAAAATTCATAATGGTTGTTTCGTTTCAAATTGTCATTATGGTAAAATGCCAAAAAACATTTCTTCATCTTGTTCAGACGATGCTGACTGTAACCGTAGCAAAGTTCACTGTCAAGCACATAAACTAAAAACATATGGGAAAAATTAGACATGGCAATTAAAAAAAAATGTTGGAGGAGAAATGGAGGCTAAGGAAAAGGTTACAAGTGGAAAAGATGGTTGGGTACAGTAAAGGACACGAGGTGCTTACAGGAATCTCTCTGTATCTGTCTCTCTAAGGAGCATCCCATCAACTGCGGTGTCCACCCACGAACCCTGACGACAAACCCCGCCATTTGATTGGCTGTCGAGTGTCGCTAAGGGGGAGGCGGGACCCAGGGCTTATGAATATGTATGAGCTATAACTGGTTGATATACTGCAAACGAGCGCGGGGGGTTGATGGTATAGAAATGAATGAAGGCGCTGCGCTGCTGGGCAGGGGGGGTGGGGATGGGGGGGATGAGGGAGAGGCAGAGGGGGTAAAATGGAGTGAGCGGGGGAGGTGACTGGAGGATGGGTGGGTGGTAAGGAGCGAATGATGGACAGGGAGGCAGGCACGAAGGCAGCGGCAGTATCAGGAGGCTTCAGAGGACACTAATGAGACAAATTAATCATAGCGCGCACACACACACACCTCCCCCTCATCTTAACCCCTGGGAGAGAGAGGGGAGAGGGAGGGGGAGTGAAGAGGGAGAGAGGGAAGGAGGGGGGGGGGGGGGGGGGGAGAGAGAAGAGGGGGTGAGTGAGTGAGTGAGTGAGTCAGTCAGTCAGTGAAAAAGGGAGAGAGAGAAGAGGTAAAGGAAAGATGAAAGATGAGAAAGAGGGGAGAGAGGACGAGGAAGAGAGGGAAGAAGGGTGCGAGGGAGAAGGCATAGAGAAAGTGAAAAAGAGAGTGGAGAATGAGGGAAGAGAAAGAGAAGGGGAAGAGAGAGACAGGGAGAGGAGATGAAGGGGTGATATAGGTTGGGCTTAGTGGTAGTGGTGGATACAAAAAAAAAAAAAAAAAAAAAAAAAAATCAATGTAAACACACGCGGTCTCTATCGGAGGTGCCCTGGGCTGGCATGCTGCGCTGTGTAGGATGGGATTATTTATGTGATTGGATAAGTGAGGAAGGGCTCCCCCAGGACAGCACAGTGCATTCATTACAACAGCAGCAGCGGCAGCAGGGGTGTGTCGCACGGAGGGGCGGAGCAGGTGGAGCTAAAGGAGCTAAATGTGCCCCATGATGCTAAATACGTCGGTGTGTGTGTGGAGTCATGACAGGAGATGCAGCGCTACAGGTTAACAGCAGTAGACTGTACAATGACAGGGGCACCAGGTTTTACCCCCTACAGTAAAGGTTTTGAAATAAATGTCGTCAAGTGCAAATTTAGAAAAGAAATCAGAATGTGGAGAGTGGCATAGACAAACTGAAAACTGTTAAAAGACCATGACTATCACAATTTTCCCTCAATGTCTACAACCAATCTGGAGAGTAAGCATGTGTAATAAATTATATTTTTTGTTACT